TCAACAACAGCCTCGATTGGTTGCTCTCCAGATGAGAAGTAGCCGACCCGCCAACAGCAGAAACGCTCAACTAGCTGTTCACTGAATTACATCGTTCCCTTCGGCAGTGAGATTACCTGATAGATCGTTTGAAGGGTACTGTTTCCACTTCCAGCGGATGTATTCGCGCCACTTATATGGGCATATCAACGCTCACAATTGCACTGCGATGGAGCGGAGAGATCAAGCCCCGAAAAACTGCATGTATGCGTCCCAGTTATCAGCGCAGATTAATGCACACCATTTTACTAAGATGGAATGGGCAGATCAAGCCTCGAAAGGCTGCATGTATTCGGCCCAGTTATAAGGCAGATTAATGCCCATAATCAGACAGGAGTTGAACTTGTATATCAAGCTTATCAGGGCGGATTAATACTCACAGTCGAACACCGATGGAACGGGCAGATCAAGCCCCGAAAATCTGCATGTATTCGGCCCAGTTATCAACGCAGATTAATGCCCCCAATTTTACTAAGATGTAACGGGCAGATCAAGCCCCGAAAAGCTGCTTGTATTCGGCCCAGTTGTAAGGCAGATTAATGCCCATAATGAGACAGGAGTTGAACTGGTATATCAAGCTTATCAGGGCGGATTAATACTCACAGTCGAACACCGATGGAACGGGCAGATCAAGCCCCGAAAATCTGCATGTATGCGCCCCAGTTATCAGCGCAGATTAATGCACACCATTTTACTAAGATGGAATGGGCAGATCAAGCCCCGGAAAGCCGCATGTAATCGGCCCAGTAATAAGGCAGATTAATGCCCATTATTCCCCAGTGGTTTCTCATCCACTTTCAGTTAAAGTCCCCCTGGTATCCATTTGCCTTTCCTGTGACCACCACGCGAGGAACTCCTCCCCGCTCACTGCAGCTCACGTCTGAGGTGTGCCGGGTACGCCTGGCATGCTGTCTCCAGATCACTTCCGCCTTCATTACCCACGCCGACCATCATTGTCCAGGCAATCTCTTCCCAGTGCACATCATGCTCCCACCCCTCTGTCTGCGAGGATAGTCTTCACTGCGCCACGCCATACCTTGACCTCCCGCTGCGCATGCTTCCTTGGCCGACCATTTCCCCCCTTCGCTCGCTGAAGTCCGAGCGCGTTCACCCGTACCAGCTCGCACGGCGTGTCGACCCTGCCTGCATTCAACTGCGAAAGGGGGCTGGGTACACCTTGCGCGCCCCACCATTCTGTCCCCCTTGTTCCCCCCCTTTTGGCTTTCCCGTGGTCTGTCCTATATCCTGTCTCGGTCCCAGCTCCCACGAGCTCATTCCTGGCCCTCAGCGGTACCTGTTCATTGCTGAGGGTTAGCACTCTTTGTACCCCTAGTACCAGGCCCAACACCCAGGCTATAACCGGACTGCAGTCGCTGGTCATGGGTTACTGGGAACCCGGGTCCACAGGTCTACAACAGCGAGGGTACGGACTCTGTCCATGGATACCCAGCAATACCTGCGGCAGCACAGGGAACTCATACCACCGGTCCTAAGGMCTCAACCAAAAATAGCGGAGTGGCACACCGCAG